GAGTAACTAAAGGAAGTTTGGAATTGAGAGACTGAATAGCAGGATCAGCGTGAAGGTAAGGGACCTTATCCTGGACTCCTTGCATCCACATTCATGACAAGCAAGGCCAGGTGAAGTCAAAGATCATCTGAAAGGGGAACAAAAAATAATAAGACAACATTATTAAAATTTCATAAAGGAAAAAAAAAATTGAACAGTGGCACAATTTAACCAATTTTACTGTGGGTCGGGCATAGTGACGCCCATGAGGGGGACAGTGTATGAGACTTTGAATAGCTGAACTAAATGTCAGTGAAAGAATTGTCTTCTCACGATTAAATTGCTCTGTGACAGAATGAGTGCCAAGTCAGTTGGTATTTGTGGAAAAAATGCAAGGGTATTGATTCATCAGGAAGTAAAAGAATATAGACTCCATGCCAAAGCTGTAGAAGATGAAACTGATTCTTCCAGAGGACCTGAAAGAACATTGAATGCCCTTTTTATTCTTGTTTTTCATTTTCTATTTAACTGTCATTAATGTGAATCCTAAAAAATAATTAACCTGACTAAGGAGTTAATCGAAATGCTAATGGGATGTTAATGGAATTACTTTTCAAAAAAAGATATGCAATAAAAATCCTCATTGATGTTTTGGCATTTTGTTTCATGAGATGACTACATATATATCTTTAGTGTAGAAGTGATACAGATATCAAAAGTGGTAAGTTGAAGCAACATAAAGTGGCAGTGAAAATAAAAACAAATTCAATATTTGAAACTTTTGATGCTGCAATTTACCATATTGTATATTTTGTTTCTTTTCCACTGCCTATAAAAGAAGCTGTACAGAAAGGAAACTGGAATGGAGAAGGCATATTTTTGATGATCCGTGGTGGAGTAGTCACTCAGCGTGCCTTATTACTATCTCCAAATGCTAAGCTTTCAAGAACTGATCTGTTAAGTGGTAGGATGTGAAAATTTGCTGGGGTTGTCAGCTAGGTTATCTTTACACCTGGGCTTGTATATTCCTTCCTTCCAGAACATCGAAATGGTGCCTTTTTTAAATCAAGTTTAGCTGTGTTAAGATGTAAAAGGTGGAAAATGAACAAGACAGGGAATTCCCAAGCGAGGTATTAGGAAGCACTCGGGCAATACTGAAGGCTGCATGTAAAGAATTTAAAGCACAGTAAAGTTCCTCAATGGATTGTGTTAATTTGCAGCTTTAAATGGACAGCATCATTTGTGAAAGTACAGCATTACTTTTGTCCGTCTTTTTTTGATTTTTTTTTCTCCCTCTTGAATATATTTGAATTCTGAGTTGCTTCAGATAGACCATGGCAGACGTGCTTCTTCAGTGGTTCTCCTGCAAACTTTTGCAGTTATTATAGATTTATTGATAACATTGGCTACATTACTGCAGCTTATTATAATATATTACAAGTGACATTTAAAATACTTAATGGTGTTATTTGAGAGCCACGCGCCACTTGATATTCCACTGTGGATGAATTTACTTAACAACAATCCTGTGGCACTTAGAGCCAAAACTCTTGTGGAGGCTTGGTTAAATAGACTGTGTTAAATTGCTTGTAACACTGTTGAAACCATTGGAGTGATTTAAGTAAGATTAACTACTGTTTTTTACTTCAGTATACTGCAAAAAGGAAGACATGCTGTTCACATTTTGGGATGAGTGGTTTCTTAATGACTCTAGTTGATTTATGTTTGCAGAAGCTGAAAACAATGTTTTGTTCTGAAGAATGTTTATAATTCTGCATGACTTTTTGATTCCTATGTGGATTTGAGAACAAATGTGTTGACCTCCTTGGTCTTCCTCCTATTGGTGCAGTCTGGATCAATATATGAGGCTCTGTAGATTGCAGTCAGTCTGAGGTACTGCAAAACAAAGTGAGCAGGTTTTGATGAGCATCATCTCTAGATTCTGATCTGATCCATGTATTTCCAGCATTTTGTGGTTAAATTTAAGATTTGAAACATTTTAAAATTTTTTTGATTGTAGAACAAATTGATTTGAGTACCATGCTTGGAAGTGGACTTTTAAGCGTAATTGGAAATTGGACTTGTTATTGTTTAGTGGGTTCTGCCACTGCTTTTTGTGATGCTTAAACATCTGGCCAAGAATATCCTTTTTTAGTTCTGTTGGCCAGTTTCAGGTAAAGTAGCAGCAAAGTCTCTGCATATGCTTTCAGTTTCCCTTGGCGTGAAGTAACAGAAAGATCAGTCCTGTTCCTGTTATCATGACTTCCATTTCTCACTTTGAAGCATGCAGGAATGAACTAGGCAGTTCATCATTCCTCCTAACATTGCACAAAAAGAATTCAAAAGCTGCTGGCTTTTGTGACCAAGGCTGCCTGATGAAAAGCAGTGGTACCGATGAACTGCAGGCATCTCTAAAATCATATTGCAGTATTAGCTGTCATTTTCAGGAGAAGAGTGATGTGGAGAATTTATTCTCTATTCTTCAGTTATGGACCAGACCAAACTCCCTTAAAATATATTAAGATAGTCTAAACCCTAACGTTTTGAGGTTGTAGACATGCTCGCTGAGCCGGTGGGTTTGGTTGCAAACGTTTCGTCACCCTGCTAGGTAACAACGTCAGCGTGCCTCTGTTGACGCATTGGTATTCTGTCCCACTTGTTATTTATATGCCTCAGCTTGTTGGGGTGTTTGGTACCACTTCCGGTTCTGTTTCTCAGTGGTTTGTACACAGGGTCTAATTCAATGTGTTTGTTGATGGAGTATGGTTAGAATACCAGGCCTCCAGGAATTCCCTGGCATGTCTCTGTTCGGCTTGTGTGATTGTGGATGTCTTGTCCCAGTCAAATTCATGTCCCTCTTTTTCCGTGTGTAGTGAGACAAGTGAGAATTGGTCGTGTCTCTTGGTGGCTAGTTGGTGTTCATGTGTCTGTATTGTCAGTTTTCTTCTGGTTTTGCCTATGTAGTGTTTCTCACAGTCCTTGCATGGTATTTTATATATTACCCTGTTTTTGCGTATAGGATCCTTTACGTTTGTCAGTAGCTGTCGTAGGGTGGTTGTTGGTTTGTGGGCTACCCTGATATCTAGGGGTCTGCGTAGTCTTGTGGTCATCTCTGAAATGTGCAGTAGAGTGATTAGTGAGTCTGGTCATTTAGTGTCTTCCTATGTGGTCTGTCTCGGAGGTAATGGCAGGTTGTGTTTTTCAGGTATCCGTTCATTTTGAAGACTTCGTATACGTGCTTCTGTGCTGCTTTGCGTAGTTCCGAGTCACTACAATACGTTGTGACTCGTTTAAGTAGTGTCCTGATGCAGCTCCATTTGTGGTGTTGGGGTGGTTGCTAGTGTAACTGAGTATCTGATCTGTAAGTGTGGTCCTTCTATATACGCTGGTCTGGAGTTCCCCGTTGTTTTTGCGTTCTGCCATTATGTCCAGGAAAGGGAGTCAGTTGTTGTTCTCTTCTCCTTTTGTGAATTTTATCCCAGTGAGGATGTTGTTTGTGTGTTGTTGCATTTCTTCCTGTTTTGTGCGTTTGATAATCACAAAGGTGTCATCGACAGACAGAGCTAGAAGAAGTCCACTGACAATATTTGATCATTACCTTTAAATAGCAAAAGCTGAGATAAACATTAGTTGTTCTGTTTCTGATCTACGGTTGTTTTCTGTGACAGGTTCCAATTTGAAATGCTGGAAAATGTGGTGGGTATTCCAAGTAGAAATACTGATGACAATTTAGAGTCTATGTGGTCAGTCTCACTATTGCAGGAATATCTGTACCACACTGTGGCTGTCATTAGTCTCACAGATGTATATCTGTAATTAATTTAGTTGGAATATGGTGATAATGATGAAATAAAAGCCCAAAATAACAATTCCTTATTGGCAAAGACATGGTTTCACTTAAAGGCAGGCTGTGGGGATAATTCAACTATTGGGTGGGTTAGGAGAAATAATTATAAACATCCTGAACCAGTTGAAATTAAGAGACAGCATGGGCCATATACCTATGGGCGTTAACCAAATTAAGTAATTATTAAGAGATAGTAGGAACTGCCGATGCTGGAGAATCTGAGATAACAAGATGTAGAGCTGGATGAACACAGGCCAAGCAGCATCAGAGGAGGAGGAAAGCTGATGTTTCGTGTCTGGACCCTTCTTTAGAAAATGAAGGGTCCAGACCCAAAAGGTCAGCTTTCCTGCTCCTCTGATGCTGCTTGGCCTGCTGTGTTCATCCAGCTCTACACCTTGTTATCGAAGTAATTATTAATATCAGCATTGTCAGTTATATTCACTAAGTAAGTAGTATAACTGCAATGCTAATCAACATTAGCTATATTTTTTAAGAATTCCTCATTTGCTTCATCATTAGCAACCTCTGTTTTTCTCTCCTTTTGAAATACTCCTTTATACCTACCTCTTTGATCAAGCTCTTGGTCTTCTATCCTAATATCCTCCTTTGTGACTTGATGTCAGAATTGTGTTTGATAATGTTCTTGCAAAGCACCTTGGAATGTTTCACTGTTAAAACATTCAAATGCCTACTGTTATTGAGATGTACGTTTGTTAAATGTGTGTGTGCATAATTTCAAGCTGAATCTCTCTTGTTATTTTAATCAACCTGTTTGAACATATTGTGATGTGTGGAGGCACCTTCTGGTCAAGAGGGAAGGACTCTTATCACTGTGCCATAAGCCTTTTTTTTATGCATCTATTTAAAAGGGATATTCAGTAGATTGGGATTGTTTATTCATAAATTTGTTCAATTACGTGTCTCACCAGCGTAACTGCGCACCATCAAAGCCCCACAGATAAGAATGTACCTTTTGTTTGTACTTTTCAGTTTTATTTCAGGCATAACCCATATAAAAGCCAGTGGAATAACATTTGCAGTGTAATTCATACAAATTATGAGTACATTGAAAATAAATAAAAGCTCATAAGTGCATGTGATAATTGTACTTTGTTGCTTTGCACTCATTGATTGGTCCTGTTTTTGGAATAATTTGGAATATTTTGTGTTTTAGATGAAAACTGTCAGTGTTGCCTTAGTTCTGTGCCTGAATGTTGGTGTGGACCCCCCAGATGTGGTGAAAACTACTCCCTGTGCTCGTTTGGAGTGTTGGATAGGTGAGTAACCTCTTAGTAAAAACCAAAAGAACTGCAGATGCTGTAAATCAGAAACAAAAACAGAAATTGCTGAAAAAGCTGAGCAGATCTGGCAGCATCTGTGGAGAAAAATCAGAGTTAACGTTTTG